AGCAACTTTCCAAATCCCTTGTCAGATACACCATTCTCTGCCTTCCATTGCAGCAATTCAAGTGTGGGCCCAACTTTTTTTTGTCAGCTTCGCAATTCGGGTACAACAATTTCTTGTGATCCTCTAACATGCGCTGCAACTTCGTCCTCTCCAGATCACTTGCGCAGTTTCTCTTTGCATCGGCAATGGCCCGACCTAGATCATCAGCGGGCACATCTGATGCCTCTTCTTCAGCTTCTTCCCCCATTGTTGTATCATCGTATTCAGGGAACCCATGGCCAGGATAGCCTTCGTCGTCCTCTTCTTCTTCATTGTCTTCCATCATAACCCCTATTTCTCCGTGCTTTGTCCAAACATTATAGTGGGGCATGAAACCGGACTTAAATAGGTGGACGTGAATGGTTTTTTCTGTAGAGTAACTATGACCATTCTTACAGCCAACACATGGACAAGGCATAAAACCATCCGCCCGCTTGTTTGCCTCAGGGGCCCGCAGAAAAGTATGCACGCCATTAATGAACTCGGGAGAGCATCGGTCATCATACATCCATTGTCGGCTCATCTTCATTACACAACACCAAATAGACCAAATTAATACAAGTTCATACATAAAGTTCATACATAAAGTTCATATACAACACTTAATTAAATGCAACATACAAATAACTCTCTAGCTAAAGAATTTAAATGCAACAACAAATGCGATGAAGATCGCAACTAAGGTAACAATTGATCCAACAACATAATGATACCAAGCCACACTATCAATGACATATTTTCTAATCTTTCTAATCTTCGACCTCATTTTCTCCATCTTGATCTTGTGATCATCGACGACATCGGAAACATGCAACTCCAATTCCATCTTCTCCCCCTCAATTCTTTTCAATTTTTCTTCAAATACTCGTTTTCTCTTTCAACTAAATTTAACCTCTCTACAATAGGGTCGGTTGGAATTTCCGGTTCACATACCTCCTAGATAAAAATATCTATGTCAACTTGATGGGCATAATTTGTCATAAAAACGAAATGCAACAACTAGTTTTAAAAGAGAATATACCACATCCGAATCATAACAAGGACGAGGGCCGACGGGGACGGATATCAAAACCATGGCACTATGTATAACAAACAACGTACGGGTAAGATAATTATACGAGTAACTATATATCCAAATCACATAAACATCAATTTGGTAATGTAAACCATTCATGAACAAGAGCCTCACCAGAAGGTGGTGCCGGCGACGGGACGGTGCGGGCGATCGACGGTGGTTACGACAGAGATTTAGAAGGCACTAAGTAAACCACACCTACATATGCAAACTAAGTGTTATTTTTGACCTCAAATTGCATATAAATCAAATACTAGCAAATATAATTATTGCTCCCAAATTAATCACTATACAAAGCATTGCAAGAGCTAATCTAGCAATGAGAGTTGAAAGGAGAAAGTTGCTAACCTTTGTGATCATTTGAATGGATGAGGGCCTTCAAATCTTGACAAATTTTGGGCAAAATTTGTGAGGAGCTCGAGGAGAAAGGGGGAAGAACAGAGGAAGTGAGGGGAAAGGGGAAGAACAGAGTGGCTCGGGGGGACGAAGGGTTTATGTACGTCGACCTTTAGTACCGGTTCGTGCCACGAACCGGTACTAAAGGTGCTGGACGGGCCCCAGACTGACAACACCCTGCCACCACCCTCTTTAGTACCGGTTCATGGCACGAACCGGTACTATAGGTTCTCCACGAACCGGTACTAATGAGAACGGACGGCTAGCCGTTGGAACAGGCACTAATGGACACATTAGTGCCGGCTCAAAACCAAACCGACACTAATGTGTGTCATATTAGGTCCTTTTTCTACTAGTGGATGTTTCCTTCACATGTACTACCCCAACTAGTCGTTCTAGGATTAACCCAAGCTTATCAACATACCTCAACATAACAACCATTTATTCTTTGTCTGACACATAGGAAGCCTCATCAATCAACAAACTGAAAACATCACCACCAATTTCTTGAAGAATAGAATTCAATGTTATCTGTAACAAACAAGATAAAATATATTTTTGGGTGCTCGGAGAGATAAATCATATGAAATAAATTAAGAATAGCGATGCTAGTAAGTAGTAATTTACCTTTGCAAAATAATTTGCAAGTTCCTTTTGAATATCTGGAGACACCCATTTGCAATTTTTTGGAGCATTCTTAAGAACTACATTCCTCACATCCTCATTCTGATTTGCTAATGTTTGTACCAACTCTTGAAAATTACCCTTATTTTTGGATTCCTCTTATTCATCATTGCCACGGAAAGCTAAACCTTGATGTAACAAGTATCTAACAGATTTGACGGAAGTATTCAACCGAATACGATTTTTCCTTTCTGTGATATCAGTTTGCTTGTTGAGGGCAACTTTAATGGACTGATCTTGATTCATCAAGGCATCACACCTTTTAGCAGCTACATTGTGATAGCTATTAACCTCACCCACATGAGTATCCAATCTGTATGTCTTATTCCAACAAGAGAAACCATTAACAACAAATGCATCATTCCCACCTTGACCATCGATCGATGCAATCTCTGAACAAATAGCAACATTGGCAAAATGCCTTATGCACTGTATCACTGTACTCTAGCCAATGATAATCTTTAAACCATTCTGGCTTGAATCTTCTTTCGAATCCTCCGATGGTCTTCTGCGGATATACAAAGCCTTCTTTTGGCCTATAAGGTCCTCTAGTTAAATATATTCTTCTAATCTCATCTTGCTTCTTTGGATTCTTAGTGTACTGTGATATTCTTTTTTGATTGGCCGGATCAAAAGGAAGTTCATCCAAATTAATATCTGCTGTAGTAGTAGTACCAATATTTGATACGTGATCTTGCCTTAGTCTAACTGGCCTTGAAGTCCCTGCCGGATCAGTCTCTGGTGCCGTTCGTTTCAGCAGAAATCTGTCCATATCCTTCTAGCCCTAGCCTCCTAGATGCAGCAAAAAAACATAAACGCAAATTTAGTAATTAGCCATCCGGAGAGACAGAGTTGTTAGTGCGTGAGACCAAGAGAAACCGAGAAAGAGATTGGCGTACCTGCGTGAGAACAGCCTACGAGGAGGGCAAGTGCCAAGTGGGCAACCAACACTCGGTAGATTAAGGATTATACGGCGGCGGCCGGCCGGCCGGCTTCACCCTTGGAGATTAGGGATCGCCGCTGTTCGTCGCCGTTGCAAATTGGGGATTAGGGATTGAGAATTGGGGTGAGGAAAGGATTAGGCGAAGGCGATGAGACGGAAAGGTGACCTGACGATGGCGGAAGAGACGAAGAGGCGACCTGGGCTGTTCACGAAACGTCAAACATGTACGTGTGTTGTTATGGTGTATAAGCCTAAGAGTAAAGTCTAAAATAAACCTTGACTTTGTAGAGGCTGGCGTAAATGAACCCTCACCTCTAAATCCCTGAAGTTGATACCCTAACCTCTCAAATCCCGGTCTATTCTAACCCTAGGCATGTTTGGCTCACTGGGAAAGAAACAATCCCAGCCAGGTTAAGCCGCTACGCTCACTGACGGTATGGGTCCACAAGTCACTTTAATCTCTCTCCTTTTATCTTCTTCTTCCTCTATCCTCTCCTCTCCCAATCCCCTCTCCCTCTCCACTGTCGGTCCCTCATTCCTCTTCTACTAGGTTGGCCGAGCCGCGCACTGGTTGGCCCCGACAGCCGAGATGACCCTGTCCGGGCCGACGACTGGAGGTGGCGGCTGCTGGAGACCTTCGGACTCATGGCCAGACATGGTGGTGGCGGCGGGCAGCTGGGTCTTGGCGGAGCGCGACACTGGCCAGCAGGCCCCTCACACGACGCGCGATGCGGATGAGGCTGTGACGGCAAGCGGGATAGCATGCGGGCGAGCTGTGGGCGGCGATAGCCGGCCTATCACACTACACGCGCATCTCATGACGCAGTGAAGACTTGGCGTGGCGGCGAGGACTCACACAGCTCGGACATGGAGCCACGTATTATGCATTGGGCCTTGTGTGCTAACGCTGTGTGGAGCTGTACGAACACATTCTTTTTTGGCCCAATTCTTTTGCAGGATTCTCCCAGAATCTGCCCCTCTCTAACTTTTCCTAGAATCTTTGACCCCATTTGTTTTATAATTCTATCTAATTAAACACTAACTAGATAAGATTGTAAAACAAATGGGGCTCAAAGATTCTGGGAGAATCTAGGTAGGGGTCTGATTCTTGAAAAATCTGGCAAAAGAATTGGGCCTTTATCTTTTACTAGAATTTACGGATGATATGGGCTGAGACTGAATAATTGGACATTAGCTACTGGGCTGGGGTCAACACATATTTTGGGCTGGGGTCAAATACTCGAAGGCATTGGGGTCAATTGACCCCAGCGTCCATACTAGAGCTTCGTCGTCCGAGGCTGCCGATCGGGCAGGAGGTCCAACTCGGCGCACAACTCGAACAAATCCCGCTTGGTAGATCCATGATAGCAACCAACAGAACCCTACCTAAACACGAAGAGGCAGCTATCAAATCCCACCCGATCTCTCCTCTCGATCGCTGCGTAGGACCATAAAATCCGACCCGATCTCAGAGGTACCCACCATAACAGAGTTGGACACTTCTCAAGGCCGCCTCCCGCCCTGGATCACCCTTGACACGAGGGCAACTCCACCACGGCCATGGAGGAGGAAGCCCCCAAGAGCCCTACATCCGTTGGAGCCGGCGACCAGCAAGTACAGCCGGGGGCTGGCGGCGGCGAGGAGCATGGAGGCCTCAACAACCTAGACCTCATCAGCCGCCTCCCCGACGAGGTACTCGGTACCGTCATCTCCCTCCTCCCCACCAGGGACGGCGCGCGCACGCAGGTCCTCTCGCGCCGGTGGCGTCCCCTCTGGCTCTCGTCCAATGCGCCGCTCAACCTCGGCGCTGACTTCGCCCTCCGCGGGGAGGAGTGCACCCTCTGCGGTGCCACCCACGAGTGCATGCACAAGCGCATCGCCTTCGTCTCCAAGATCCTTGCCAACCACCCGGGCCCGACCCGACGCTTTGCACTCCACCTCGTATACTGGCCCAACATCCCGGGCGTTGTCGATGGCTGGTTCCGCTCCAGGCCCCTCTCCGGCCTCCAGGACCTCGAGGTCGTCAACAAATCGAGCCGCTACGTGCTGCTGCCGTCGCACGCGCTGATCCGCTTCGCGCCCACGCTTTGCCTGCTCAGCCTCAGCCAGTGTCGATTTCCGGACCTGGGTGTGCCACCGAGTTTTCCGCACCTCAAAGAGCTTATCATGTACGATGTCGGTATCTCGGAGGACTCTTTCAAAACCTTCATCTCCAGGTGCTCTGTTTTGCAAAGCGTTTCACTGCACAACATGGAATGTGGCCGCGTTTGCATCAACTCGCCGACTATCAGGAGCATGAGCTTCTACGGCCGTTGGAGAAGTGTCATCACTTTTCAGGAGCTGGTCATTGAGGATGCCCCTTCCCTTGAGAGGTTGGTACCACTTGATCCAGACGGTGGTCCAGCGACCATCCACATAATCCAGGCACCTAAACTGAAGATACTTGGTTTGTTATCTGGAGGCATATCCACACTCTGCATTGGAACCACGGTTTTTCAGGTTAGCTGCAAGCCCAATCGGTCGGGTCATTCATCGTTTTCTACATGCATGGTATTATTCTCATATCACACTTGTTGTCCTTTTCTCCAGAAAATGGTTGCCGTCAGCTTGATAACCAAAATGCACACAGTTAAGATTTTACTTCTTGACTCTATTGGTCCTAATCTGGACTCAGTTGTTAACTTCCTCAAGTGCTTCCCTTGCTTGGAGAAGTTGTATGTCATTGTTGTGAGTATTCATATCTAATGTCAAACTCAGCAGTAGCTTATATATATGTTATAGTGCTAGTATTTTGTTCCTAATTTTTTAACAACTGCCTTTATATCTGGGTTTCTTTTTTCTATCTGCAGTCACATCCAGAAAGGGATTCTTTTTTCTATCCGCAGTTGCATTCAGAAAAGGATATTAACAATGTGCGGGAGTATGACCCACTTGATCCAATTGAATGCCTTGAACTCAATCTAAAAAAGGTGGTGTTGAAGAATTACGATGGTATCAAGAGGGCAATAATTAATTTTGCCAAGTTCTTTATTTTGAATGCCAAAGTGCTGGAGGAAATGGAAATCGGAGTCCTCGGCCATGGCAATGACAAACGGATGCAGTATCTACATGAAGAGCTACAGGTGGAGAATAGAGCTTCTCAAGATGCACAAATTGAACTAAAGAGGGATGTACGACAAGATTTCAAACACCATAGGCATACCCATGATTTTTCGGTGGCGGACCCTTTTGATAGGCCCTGTGGACGGTTGCTATAGATGTTCTAGATAGCCTTTCTGGAGATTGTGTCACCAACTGCCCTTGCTTGTCTGTCTAATGTAATAATGTCATCTCACCCCTTGTGACGAACTGCAAACTGATCTACTTCATTCAGCAATGAAGTGCTTTTGTTACCCACTTTTGAAGCAAATTAAACTAGGATTCAGGAGGTGGTCCCTAAGCTCAAGGTTCAAATCCGAACTCGCAGATGTACTAGTACGTACTCCCTCCGTCTGAAAATACTTGTCATCAAAATGGATAAAAAAGGATGTATCTAGAACAAATATACATCTAGATACATCCTCTTTTATTCATTTTGATGACAATTATTTCCGGACGGAGGTAGTATGTGTTAAGTTCAGTTGGTACTGGTTGTTTCTATCCTGGTTCGCATCTTATGTAAGCTGGTAGTACTGCAGGCTGCAACTAATATATCTCTGCATGCACCTGTTGCTTTTATAAAATATAAACAGTTGTATTGCTTTTCTAGTAGTATGCAATTGTGAAGTTTTATTTCCTTGCATAAAAGTTGTTCAACTTTTTCAGCAAGTCATTAAGATCACTATTTCAAATTGAAAGAGCCAGTCATAATTTGCAACCTTGTTTCTGCTAGTTTAGCCAGGGATCTATGTTGGTTGTACAGGATTCATTTCTTTCACGTATCTGAAATTGCGTTTGTTGTTACTTAATGTATTCCCAATTTCCCATGGAGAAAAGAAAGTAAAGTTTAAATTCTGTTTTTTTTTCTGTGCACAATTAGGTTGGATGAAAAGGTACACTACTTTTTTAAAAAATTTAAAAGACAACACACAGCACAACATACAAACAGGGGAGAAACAAAGAGGGAAGACACACCCCGACACAATACAAAGCACCACCGGTGAGATCAAATGGCATTGGTCAACCGGGAGCCATGGCACTGCTCTATCGATGCAATCAGAGGCTTCACACATCCAAGACTGCACAACGCCATGACACCACGTGCGTCGGGGGTGCATTCGAAAGGACACACGAGGCCGAGCTGACGCCACGGCGCCTGTGTGCCGCAGGCGAAGTCGGCTTCGCCAAGCAGACAAGCCCATGCCACTGTACCGTCGACGCAATCGAAAGGCTCCGCGCATCCGAGACTGCACAACGCCGCTACTTTTCACCTCTGGTTTATGTGTTTTTTCTGAACTCATTCTGACAGAAACAATGAAATTGGAAAAAGATATACTTGATTTGTCTACATGGTTTGATTTGATACCATGGAGCTTGATGGTTGTGTTTTGAGGAATGGTTTTTATTTTCCGGAGGTTGACCAGCCCATTATCAAAGTTCCATTTTGCGCTATCAAGTCTCTGGTTGTGATATTCGACGAATGGTCGTTGATGTTGATGCGTGAACTTGTCTCGAGAAAACTGGATGCAGTTGGTAGTTTTCTAGGGAAGGTTTGTGTGCTCTAGTTATTTTGCATATATAGATCATTTGTGCAACGCATTGTAATGAGTTTCTTGATTCCTTCCTTGTGCGTTGTTTCTCCCTGAAGGTCTGCTGCGGCTCTCCTCCATCATTTCTCTTGTAAGCAGTGTGTTGAGTGAGCTCATCTCTGGTATACACATCATAGTCTCCTTGGCAGAGCAGGAACTTCTGATTCTCTGCCTTGAAATTTGCGGCGGGGTGACAAAGTTACAGGGCAAGAGTTTTAAGACTGAGAGCAGTCGGCATTCCCCTCGACTAGTACTACAATTTAGTCATGAAAATGACAGTGCACAAAGAATATATAGCATGTTCAGTCCTAGCTAGTACTGCACCGGTTTGTAGTTGTGTGCCTGAAAGAGTGTTCCAGGATTCCCTGAGACATATAAACCCAATTTTTTTGAGAGAAAAAGCAGGGCAATCTTCCTTCATAATCTTTCGAAGCTCTGTTCGAGGGGTCAGATGGAAATGTTGAGCATAGATGCGAAACGAAGTCGCAAGTTTCCATGAGAGATTGAATTTCGTTCTTTGCATTGATTTCTATCAGTCAGTCTATCTGAAGATCTGAACCTCTGAAATTTCTTCCATACCAATACTTAGGTGAATATTTCTTGGTTTCTACGGATGCAGCATCCATGCTTGGTTAAATACATTGCTTGGCTGTGTATTTGGTTACTTTCTACTCTCAGATATTTGAAGCGCACACTATATTTGGAGCTGATAATATTGTATAGCAGGTGTGCCATTAGTGTCCATATCACTAATGGCACACCACACGTACGGTGCGCCACTACTAACAAATTTTTTTCTTTCAAAACTAGTAATGGCGCACCAGGGCATAGTGCGCCATTATTAGTTAATGGCGCACCACACACTCTGTGTGCCACTACTAACAATTATTTTTATTTTTTTGTCAAAACTAATAATGGCGCACCAGAGTATAGTGCACCATTACTAGTTCAAACTAGTAATGGCGCACCACTACTAATATTTTTTTTTGCAAAACTAGTAATGGCGCACCACGTAACAGGTGCGTCATTAGTAATCAGGGTTACTAATGGCGCATTTTTAGGTGGTGCGCCATTAGTAACCTCAGACCAGCTAGATATTTTGGACATCCACCTACCACACTCACTTTCCCCACTTCATTCTCTCCACCTCCTCCTCCAAGCTTGTCTCGGCTGCCTCCTCCTCCCCACCTCATTTGCACCATAGATTCACCCAAATTAAGTGGTTAAATTATCTTTTTTGATAGGTAAGTAAGGGGAAAGTTTCTTTATGTCGTAGATCTACTTTTTTCTCTCTTCAACAACGTGCACATGCACTTTTTATGGCCTAGCTAGATCTACGTATGTTTGTGGTGTTGCATATATGTTTGTGTTTGCAGGTACCGGTATTTAAAATGTGATAGTTGCCAATATTTTGCCGGAATGTTGATTTATTTCCGTTTCGGCGAGAATTTAGCACTATGCATTCTTTTTGGTCCTATTTTTAGGCAAAGTCATGCCAAATTTTTCTTGGTTCTAAAATATCGTTTTGCTCTACCCCACAGGCTACCATGGTCCGCACGATGACCGAAGCCATCGTGAATAGGTTTTTGAGCTTCGCGAAGGCTGAGATGCTTCAAAGGAACGGGACGGAGATAAGATGTCTGTGTCGAAGATGCAAGCTGAGGAGCCTTATGGATCCGGATTCTGTACAGGTGCGGGACCACCTGCTCTTGCGTGGTTTTATGGATGGCTATCGGTGGCAAGGTCATGAAGATGATTATGAAGTCGTCCATGGGGACCGGACAAGAAATGAGGAAGGGCAACAAGACAACCGCGGCGAGGGAGGGCAAGACGAAGAATCTCCAGGACATGATCACAAAGTAGATGCAGTACATAGTCATCATGTAGAAGATGCCGAACATGATGATGAGGAAGATGCCGGAGCAGACGGCAATGGACCATCGATGGGCTGGGTGCAGGTCCCTCATATTCAAGAGCTGCTTCTCAAGCAGACGGATAACGCAAGAGCTGCCGCCTGAGAGAAAGCCAAGCTAGATCAACTGGAGATAGACGCGGTTACTCCATTGTATGAAGGATGCAGGCCCGAGGATACCCGCTTGACAGTAACGCTCATGGCTCTGGAGATGAAGGTAAAACACAAAATGACCGACGCAAGCTTTGACGAGAACATGTCATTCTGGCACGAACGTCTTCCCAAGGGGAACAAGTGCCCGACCAGTTTCGAGGAGGTGAAGAAAATCGTGTGTCCTCTGGATTTACCGCACGTGAAATACCATGTGTGCATGAACAATTGCATCATTTATCGGGACGAGCACGCGGAGTCTACCATATGTCCGGTGTGCGGCGTCACTCGATACGAGAAGAGGAAGAAAGCTCCTCAAAAAGTGGTGTGGTACTTTCCGTTCACTCCTCGTCTGCAGCGGTATTTCGCGGACCCTAAGGTAGCAAAGCTCCTACGTTGGCACGCGGATAGGGAGGAGAAGAAGCGAGAAGATGACAAAAATGATCCGGAGATAAATAAAAAAGACAAGATGCTGAGTCACCTTAAGGATGCGAGCCAGTGGCAAGCGTTGAACTTCGAACACCCAGAATTTGGGGACGATCCAAGGAACATCATGTTGGGCGCGTGCACCAATGGAGTCAATCCGTTTGGTAGCCAGAGAAGCACACATAGCACCTGGCCCGTGTTTGTGTGGATGTATAACCTTGCCCCCTGGTTGTGCATGAAAGGAAGTACATTCACATGAATATGCTAATTGAAGGGGCAAAACAACCAGGGAACGACATCAATCTGTATCCGGGGCTGCTGAAAGAGGAGCCAAACACGCTGTGGAAAACACGAGCCAATACGTGGGACGCCGCAGAGAAAGAATATTTCCCTATGAGAGTCGCACTGCTCACGACGGTGCACGACTATCTCGGTTATGGATATGTCGCGGGGCAGGTGGTCCACGGATTTTCTGGATGCGTCAGGTGCATGGATGACACAATGTATCGCCAGCTAGATAGATATTCCGGGTCTTCGGAAACCGTGTTGATGGAACATCGAAGGTGGCTTCGCGACGATGACTCATGGAGAAAACGCAAGGATCTGTTCGATGGTGAAACTGAACCCCAAAGAAGCCCGCGTACGAGGAGCGGCGGGGAAATAGACGAGCTATTGAAAAACTGGAAAGATTGCCCACTGCCGGGAAAGAAGCAAAAGGCGCCAGAGCTGGGAAAGAAGCGAAAGGCGCCAGAGCCGCTGCTGAAGGAATGGAAAACGAGGTCTGTTTTCTAGGACTTGCCGTACTGTAAGATCCATCGTGTGCCTCACAGCCTTGATGTCATGCATATCACGAAGATAGTGTGCGAGAGTCTGCTTGGTACCCTACTCAACATGCCAGAGAGGACCAAAGATGGGCTGAAAGCAAGGGCATACTTGAAATCAATGGGCATCAGGGAGGAGCTTCACGCTAATGATGATGATGAGGCGAAGCAGGATACGAAAAGTCGTCGCAAAGGCAAAAAGGCCAAGAAGATCGGAAATG